TATGGTAAGTAAAGTAGCAAGATAAACTTACTGGAAACAATGAATGTTCGATAAATGTCACAGTTGAAGAATTCAAGTTTCATCAAATGTTTTAAGAAAGTTACAAGCTATTAATGCAATTCTGCTTAGGTTAAAAACATCTTGATAACATTTAAGATTTTGTTCTGTCGCTAACCAGGTTATATTAAACCTTTCAATATATTGGGAACTGAATTCTACGATCCTCACTAGCACCACCCTGGACTTATCATCATCAAACACTCTTTGTTTACTTTCTCGCAATGTTTACTTTTGAATGTTGTTCGTCATTAACTTCCCTTTTAAATAAATAATGACGGTTATTATCAAATAACCATCAATGGCCTCATGTCTTCCTACAAACTGTAAGTACTTGAAACTTACAACAATTAGATTATAAGAATATTGCATGAAATTTAACTGGCGAGTTAAAACAAGGGGGGAAAAAGGCTTAGCAGAAATGGCGTCACTCGCGAGTCACGACGTAACCCTAGATAACCTAACGGCTATAACTACTCAAAATTGTCTTTTAAACTTGAAATGCTCTTACAAAAAGAAGATCTTTGGGAATTTGTCACCGAATATATTCCAGACGAACCAAAATTTGAATGGGAAAAAGACTCAAACGCTAGAGATATCATTAACCTAAGCATCGCCGACTCACAAATAGTGCATGGCAAAACCTAACAACAGCCAAAGCTACCTGAGGGACTATTAAAAATATCTTCGAGAGAAACACTCAAGAAAAAAACAATCTGCTAAGGAAACTATACAGATTAAAACTCGAAGAAGACAACGACATGCAACAGCACATAACTACCATGATGGAACTAGTTGACAAACTGTGAACCATTGGCGAAACGATAAAAGACTCTCACATCACGGCTATACTGCTTTGTTCGCTTCCAAAGAGCTATTCCACTCTCATCACGATGTTAGAATCAAAGCCTGATGACGAGCTAACACTTGAATTCACCAAGAACAAACTCCTTGATGAACACACGTGAAGAGTAGAAAGTTAGAAAGACGAAAGCACTCAATAAAAAGCCTTCAAAAGTCTCAACAGAACTTCAAACCAAAATATAGAAAATAAGACATTTTGCTCTTTTTGCTACCAGAAATTCTGAAATCCAAGGTAGAATGTTGGGACTTATCAAAAACGAAATAACTTTAACAAAGATTCTAAATGTAAAAAAAATCAAAAGAGGAAACGCACAGGGTACACAAATAGGCAGAATTTCACGAAAAAACAACCAAAAAATCATAGAACAACAAAAGATCTAATACAAAATATCTCAATTTCACTCAATGAGAAGTAAATGTACAAAACTGGTTCGTCGAATCTAGAGCCACATCTCATTTGAAGTACCATGTAAGCTTCTTCACCGAACTAAACAGGGAACAAGCACAAAATGTCAAGTTTTTCAAGATTCTTACAAATTCCAAGTTAAAAAAGATTGAGAGTTACGTTAGTTTAGAAATTGCACAATATGTGTGAGGCTCTGCATATAAGACCAAGTACAAATCTCTAGGTATAAGAGTATGTGTGTTGTGTGTGTGAACACTCAAATATAAACACTCAAAGATTTACTGGATAAAAAAGCTGAGATATACATCTAAAGGCCATTATGTTACTCGAATCTGGAAAGGAAGAGAAATGGTAAGATATAAAGGAAGAAACAAATCAAAACTTTCGTTGGAAAACAAGTTTCTAGATTGATCCCCAAGTTCTTTACGAAATCGATCAAGTCTGTGACCCATTTCTTGGAAGCCTGCAATCAGAGCGTGGGCTGATTCAATAGATGATAGTACTTTCTTTGTCTGTGGGGCTGTATTGCTACCGATTATGTAACTAGGAGGTATCCTGCTTCCCCGTGGCTTCTATTGCTGTCTTGGCACTAGCTAGGAAGGTAAATCACAGTGCTGTGTTCTCCCGTGTTTCACGGTGGCTTCTATTGCTGTCTTGGCAGCAGCTAGGGCGGTATATCACAGTGCTGTGTTCTCCCGTGTTTCACGGTGTCTTCTATTGTTGTCTTGGCAGTAGCTAGGACGGTATATCACAGCGCTGTGTTCTCCCGTGTTTCACGGTGGCTTCTATTGTTGTCTGATGTCTTTGCAGTAGCTAGGACGGTATATTACAGCGCTGTGCTCTCCCGTGTTTCACGGTGGCTTCTATTGCTGTCTTGGCAGTAGCTAGAACGGTATATCACAGCGCTGTGTTCTCCCGTGTTTCACGGTGGCTTCCATTGTTGTCTGATGATGTCTTGGTAGTAGCTAGGACGGTATATCACAGCGCTGTGTTCTCCTGTGTTTCACGGTGGCTTCTATTGTTGTCTGATGATGTCTTGGCAGTAGCTAGGACGGTATATCACAGCGCTGTGTTCTCCCGTGTTTCACGGTGGCTTCTATTCTTGTCTGATGATGTTTTGGCAGTAGCTAGGGCGGTATATCATAGCGCTGTGTTATCCCGTGTTTCACGGTGGCTTCTATTCTTGTCTGATGATGTCTTGGCAGTAGCTAGGGCGGTATATCACAGAACTGTGTTCTCCCGTGTTTCGCGGTGGCTTCTATCGTTGTCTGATGATGTCTTGGCAGTAGCTAGGACGGTATATCACAGCGCTGTGTTCTCCCGCGTTTCACAGTGGCTTCTATTGTTGTCTGATGATGTCTTGTCAATAGTTAGGACGATATATCACAGCGCTGTGTTCTCCCGTGCCCATGCGGTAGTAGTGGATAACCAAAGAGTCTTCAACTTAATGGTGATAATACCATCGAAATGCCGTCAACTCACATCGTGCGAGCGACGGTTAAATGCTAAATTGATGGAAATTCTAGAGCTATTAAAGCGGATGTACAAATTCGACCCAAAATGGCGTATATGTAAATCTTATCTCCCAAAAGCCGGAATCGGGCTGATTTCGTGGAGAACGAATTGGCAAACTCTCAGCAGAAGAAAAACAACGGAAGCATTCGTCATCTTTGTCGAACAATCTCGCCAGGCCATCACCACCTGGAACGAGTCTGCGCCGCACCAGTCCAGAATCACTAACGAGCAGGTAAAGGTCTCTAGGCAAGTTCTCGAAGAGTGCTAGACGATATATGCAGATGCGACTTCCGACCAGATTCTTTTCCTAGAATATTTCCTGGAGTTCGTTCTGGTGAGCTACATCAGTCACTTGATAACAAATTGTGGAAAAGCTGCCTGGTAGAGCCTTGAAGAGTTTCAAGGCAGGTTCTGACTGGCCTGGAACGGCCTGAAATGGCGGAGACAATCGAAGATAGGCTGTTGATCAACGGGACACTGCTCAAAGCCCTGGTCTACCAGATGAAGGCAAAAAAATCACCCTGTGTTCTATCTTGCGTCATCGTAGAATGGACATCATCCGATTCCTAAGACCTTTCTGCCAGGTTGTCTCCATTGCTCCTGCCGTAAACTCCTCACGCGGCTATGTCTGGGTGGACCTGGAGAAATCAGCTTTCGTCCTGATGAACGATGAGTAAAAAAATAACGGATCTTCTTAAAAGATGGTGACTGCCAAGGAAGGCTAAGCACTAATCTATTTGGAGAATGGGTTCTGGTGTTCCAAATGCCTCTGATGGGTCACAAACGAATGAACTACCCCCAATAATCAAAGCGGTAAGAGTTTCCCAACTTTCCAGCCAAAAGAGCAGTGTGACTATCCAAACACCTGCTCCTCCCACTACTGCAGCTGCATCACCACCTGCAGCATCCAACCACTTTGCGCCAGAGGCTGCCACGACGCAAATGTCCTCCACACCATCAGCTCAAAAGGACAAAGCTCCCGAGACTCCACTCTCCACCAGCACATTGGAATCTTCCAAAAATGCCCAAAATAAACAGCTTCCTCAGACAGCTGAGGATCAAGTAGAGGAGCTGTTTGACAAACTGGTCTCTGACTTCTTACATCCCCTCTATGAGTTTGTTGAAAGGTACGATGTTAAAAGATACGGGTTTTGTCATACTCTGACAGAATGGAAATTCTCGATCTGTTTACGCCTGGGGAGACAACTATTCTAAGTTAATTCCTCAACAGTACAATTGTGTGTGCTGGGAACAGCAACTGCTATCTAGGCAGGAGGCTGTACAAATTCAAGGCGGTTTTTGCGTGTGCTGGGAACAACAACTACTATATAGGAAGAAAGCTGTCTAAATTCAAGGCGGTTTTTGCGTGTACTAGGAACAACAACTGCTATCTAGGCAGGAGACTGTCGAAATTCAAGGCGGTTTTTGCGTGTGCTGGGAACAACAACTGCTATCTAGGCATGAGACTGTCCAAATTCAAGGCGGTTTTTGCGTGTGTTGGGACCAACAACTACTATATAGGAAGAAAGCTGTCTAAATTCAAGGCGGTTTTTGCGTGTACTAGGAACAACAACTGCTATCTAGGCAGGAGACTGTCGAAATTCAAGGCGGTTTTTGCGTGTGCTGGGAACAACAACTACCATATATGAAGAA